AGACAGAGAGAGTGAGTGAGTGAGAGAGAGAGGGACAGAGAGAAAGGTAGAGAGAGAAAGGGAGAGAGAGAAAGGGAGGGAGAGAGAGAGAGAGCGAAAAAGAGAGAGAGAGGGAGCGAGGGAGCGAGAGCGAGAGACAGGGACGGACAGAGACTGAGGTTGAGGCAAAGAAAGAGACAGCGACAGAGCAACAGCGAGAGAGAGAGAAAGCAAGAGAGAGAGAGAGAGAGAGAGAGCAAGAACGAGAAAAAGAAAGAACCCACAAACAACTATGTGGACAGAAAGCGAGAGAGAACTAGCTGGAGAGGGATGGAGGGAGAGGGGAGAGAGAGAAAGAGAGGAGCGAGAGCGAGAGCGACAGCGACAAAGAAATAAAGAAAGCAAAAACGAATGAGACGTGGACAGAGAGGGAGGGAGAGCTGGCTGGAGAGAGGTGGAGCAAGAGAGAGGGAGAGGGAGGGAGAGAGACAGAGCGCACACGCCGAGCCTGACTCCGACTCCGCAGACCCACGGAGAGTTGGGTGGTTCGCTTCTTGGCCTGATGCAAGCAACAATTTGGAGGGTGCCCAGCGGCTTCAGCTTTGCTATACCGACGAGAAGACAGTTCATGAGCTTCAAATCATCAGGCAAAGAGTGTAGGTGCTAGCTGCTAGCCCTTCTCAGAGGTAGCATCACAGACAATCGGGACATGAAAGACGAACGGGCGCCTCTCTAAATACATCAGAAGCCGCAAAGCCATGCCTTTACTATTAGCCCCTGCATTGCAACACATAACATCATCTGAATTTGGCTGGCTTGGCTGCGCAGAAGCCGCAAGCAGGTCCAAACGACTCCGGCTGCCGGCCTGATTCCGCGTCCGTATTGATTGGAACGATGATGGGTTGGCTCTCAGAAGATGTATCTCCTGCACAAGCATGTGCTACGACATGCAACAGAGGGAAAGAATGGCCTGGTCCTGTTTCGTTCGACGTCTGATGGTTTCGCGAAGTCTTCGCGGCGTCGCCGGCGCCACCTCAGAACTCATGGCATCCTGGATATGGAGCTGACAACTTTTGCACTTTAGACCCAGAGTGTTTAAGGGTTGCACTTTGGGGAGACTCGCGCCCTGTACACGACATGTTGCTTGCCTCCTTCAGGAGACTTTTCTCTGCGCCGGCAGCAGCAGGCCCCTGCGACTTGAAGCGTACTCGGGTTATAAAACAAGGGACCAGAAAGAACAGTGTATAGGACCCCAGAGGTGCAATCCTTGGCTTTTTGGATCGAGGAAACACGTTGCACACTGGTTGGTTATTGGCTTCAGATTTCCAGCCTCTGGACTTGCATGCGCAAATGGACGAATTCGAGCTGTTCCGCGAGGAGGCTGATGTTAAAGCCGAAGCCAAGCTTCTGGAAACAGAGCTCTAGACCTTCAAGTTCCCACTTCTCCGAAGGCCAACGGCAAAGGAGACAGAAGTCGCGAGGCCAACAAGAAGGTCACTTCTGAGCGACTGCCACTTTCTACACTCGTCCCGGAAAGGCCAGTTGATTGCAGGTTCGATGGGAACTTGGCAGATTCATAAAACTACTGATTTAATTTTGGCAGAAAAATATTCAAACTTGGGGCAGTATATGGCAGTATTTATCTTCTACGCCACATGGGGCCTGCCCCTAACCTTAAACCCTACTAAACCAGGTTCTGGGCCTCCCCCCCTAATTCACAAGCAGTTTTTAATTGCCTGGCTGGCTCTATCCGGCTCTTCGGGGGTGATGTTGGGCCCGGAAATTTTAGTATTAGGGGGTGTTTAGTAATAGTGGGACGCCAGTACCCACAAGGTTAGGATGCGGGTATGATTCGACCAATGATTCAGGGTATGATGATATGACTCGAAGGACACACGCTTCACGGCTGCTGACCAACTTCTGGTGTTCATGTGGGGTAGGCTCTGCGGGAATGCTTCCAGGGCGGAGTGATGCCTTGCTTCCTTCAGGCAGCTGGGCCCGTCAAGGAGGCTCTCTTGCATGTCCTTTTTTTTGTTTTGACCCAAACCTGCTCTAGCAAATTGCTTGCATTTTGGACCTTTTCGGCGCCTTTGGGACCTCTTTCCCCGGGACCAGCAGACCCAGGTTTTGCTTCCCGGACTGTATTGCTATTCGGAATTTTGCTGCTCCTTCAAGCCACACTTTAGGAAATTCATCACACTTGGCGAACAGTGTTTCCGTTGAACATCTCCGTCTCCAAGAAAGAACGGGAGTGCAATTGTGGGACTTCTGGGCTTTTTGGCTTGTTTCTGCGTTTTCAGTTTGTTTCCAACAGAGCTTCCGGGACCACTTTGCCTTGGGCGTTCTTTCAAGAGCTTTTTCGCATCGTTCCCGGGACCATGGAACGCTTGCGGGCCACCATTTCACCTTGTGGGGCTTTCTCCATGACATCGCCTAATAAAGACACTTGTCCCATCATATCTCGATGTGTCGGGCATACAAAGAGGTTCTGCTACCGAGCTTCTAGTTTGGTAGCACAAACTGATAAGCTTGTTATCGGGCCGCCGAGCAAAATCAATGTCCCTGAAGAATGCTACCTTGCAGATTTTAGAAGAAGACAAATTTAATCCTAAGTTGCTCACGCACAGGGTGATTTGGGCTGCCTCCCATGCGCCAGCGTGAGCAGCTTGGTTATTCATACTACAGCGAGCATGATATGAACCCTAAACCTTAAACCTCCATGAACCCTGGGCCTAGGCAAGAAGAAATGGGATGTCATGGCCTCGCAGCTTCGACCACACCATTGACACATTCACCTTCTCCCGATCCTCCGGGGTGGCAGGGCTAGGGTTTCTAGGGCCAGTTTAGGGTCTGTGGTTGGACGAGGGTTTTAGCATGAACAGGGTTCAGGCAGCCTTTATTTTCTTCGCCCCCACCTCCTGCGTCTGCGTCCAATAATGAACAACTGCATCAAAGTACTGATCACTCTTCTCCGGCATCAGCCATATCGCGAGCTTGGCGGCCGCGGTGAGTAAGCAGGCCATGAAGAAGGGCGCGAACAGAAAAACCTGCGGAGGTGCTGCGAGGAGGTCTCCAAAAGAACGTTGATCTGCACAATGCCTGACACTAGTCAGTCTTCGTGTCCTTTTGGGAGACTTCCCGGTGATCTGATGCTGTCTACATGCGGACCAGAAGCTGTCATCAAGGCCCATACAAATGTCTCGAACCAGTCCCAAAGATCCTTCTGCTGCTCTATGGCATTCAGGTTGGAAATGAACAAGACCAAGAACGCCAGCCCGCATGTCCTTGGCCACGCTTACATGTTACGGGAGCAAGCCGCAGAAGATTTCAGGCGGGGTTTGGGAGGAGGATTCCTCATGGTCCCGTGACGTGGATCAACCAAGCTGAAGGGTGCAAGACAAGGCGCAGCAAAAGGAGCCACACGCCCCAAAACAGCGCCGACTGGGCCCAAAACCTCATCGCAACACTACAGAGCCGTTACTGAGCCTCTTGAACTAGCTCGCACTGCCGCCAGCCTCAAAGGGGACTTCGTGCATCCATCCTTGCTCGCTAGCGATGTGTCCGGCGCCACGAACCACAGAAGCAGTACCGGCACCCAGCCGATAGAGTTGGAGATCACCATCACAAGGACCTTCCGGGATAAGAGTCGGAGGCTATCACATTGTAAGTCTTCACGGCTCAAGGCATGCCGAGTCTGTTGTCTTTCATTGTTGGAAGTCTGTCCACTTTTCTGTCTGCGGCCGGCGAAAGGGTGAACCGTGTAAGCCATGAACCCTGACAGACTTCCCACATCGAAGCCCACCCAGACCGGCCTTGCGCAATACTGCCTCCACATTGAGCGCGTCAAATACGACGTTTGACCAAGAGTCGTTTGGGCATGTGAAGAAGATGGCTATTGAATCGCACGCGAGTACATTCTTTAAGAAGGCAAGGGCCACGAATGTAGAGGGCCAGTAGTGCCCGGCTTTGCGGAATATCACTTGCAGGGGATGATGACCAAGGAACAGGCACAACCACAACAGTGGCAAGTGTGGCAGATCTGCCAGCTGCTTCATGAAGTCCTGAATAGCAGCTGGCAGGCTGTTGTTACAGCAGCATGGCTATGGCTAAAACGTTTAAGCCATCCTAAAACCCTATACATGCTAGAGCGGTTCCAAGTAGCTGGTTCTCAGAGAACTATTCGGAAGCCTGTACATCAAAAAATGCTCCCTAAGGGGGAAGGGTTTAAGGCCTCCTTTTCTGGGCAGTGCTCGCTTGGTGCTGCAAGAGGGTTTGGGAGCGTATGTTGAACGCCCAAAGGTTGTCGTGTTTCTCAGATCCAATGATGATCCAATGAAACAGGAGGGCTGGGCCTATGACCTTTTGACAAATCACCCTTTTCAGTGGATAACGCGTCAATCTGCCATATCAACGCTATAATGCTGTAATGTTCTTCTCGCAACATGCCTGCAGACCTTGCAGATTCGGAACTTAGCCGCTGTCCCGATGGTAACGGCAGTGTTCCCAACGCGTCCGTGGTCCCCAAACCAGGAACCCGAAACCGTATACCAGCTCGCGGCTGACATACGCCTGAACGTTATGAAGTATACGTCGGCGTAGAGTTCGAAAGGAAGATTGAACGGCTTGATGTTCAAGGCTTCTCTGTGCAGTAGAAGCTGTCTCTATGCAGAGAAGGGCTGTGTATCGCTATATAATCATATTTTTAAAGTCAGAAGTATGGATGTGTGCATACGTTGCGTTGTTGGCGTTGCTATGCTTCAAGTCAATGTTTGAAATGTTGCCCAGAAGTCTTGCTCCTACCAACGACTTTGTTTGCACTTACCGCTCTTCGACTTTGAACTCTCAGCGTTTCGCTGTTTTTGGAGCTAGCGGCCCTGTCGCAGATGATCAGTCTCTACCCAAAACACAGACGTCACACATCGTACCAATGTCAGTCCTTCTTATCTGGTCTTTCAGGCTCTGCTTCCGGCACTTCCTTCAGGCCCTGTTGCTTGGGGCTGGCAGCACAAGCTGGAAGACTTCACAGATCCGCA